AAATGAGTTGTAATCAACCATACCATCAAGATGAGGAAAAAAAAAAAAACCTACCTCCCTACAGGGAGATCTTGGATCTGCCTCCGTCTTTTTAGAGATATCATTTTAGACTTAGATCCTCGACACTGAAAAGGGTGTATGGATCCGAAGATGAAGTGCCATTCACTGATAGGGGAATGGATTTGTCTACAGAGTAAGGGGAGAAATGGACTGCATTGGATGCACCCTTGCTTTAATAGCCCAAGATTTGCCTACCAGAAAGATAATTTTTATGAATCATGATTTCCCAGTGTTTAGCATACTGTACTCTTCTCTAAGTCAACTGATATTCTCTACCCTAGTCCTTGTCTATATGGTGGCTGTCCTGTGCTCCTGAGTGGGTTGCCATCTTTAGCTGGTCCCATGTGTGGCTCTGCTTATCTTCTGTTGGATGGAGGAACCTCCGATACCAGTATACTAACAGGCCTCCCTCCTGCAGTTGCTTCCCTGGTTGCCAGTAACTGGCCACTTTACCTAGACTGTGCCAGGTTTCTCTGTTCTGTCCCAGCCAGGCTATGCTCTGAGGGCAGACTCCAAGTGCCTGTGATAGTAGCTGTAGAGACTAAATGAGGAAATGTTCAGGGACAGGGAATGGCATCATCTTCGTTCTTTTTTTTTTTTTTAAAGGCAGAATCTTGCTATATAGCCCTAACTAGCCTGGCCTCAAACTCATGGCACTCCTCCTGCCTCAGCATCCCAAGTGATGTGATTACAGGTATGCACTACCATATCTGTCCATCCTTGTTTTTGTTTTACCATGAATCTTAGTAGCTAGTGATCATGGGTCCTAGTCATAAAACTATTTTAGAAGTCTAAAGTAGCAGGTCTAAATCAGTAGAAGATACTGCTTCCATTCTACAACAGGGAGACAGATATATAAAAATCAAGGCTGGGGAGATGGTTCCCTGGATAAGAGTGCTTGCTGTATAAGCATATGGACCTGAGTCTAGCATCAAAATTTTAAGAAAAAAAAAAGCATGTCTGGGTGTGCCTGTAACCCCACTGTTGTGAGAGATAAGAACAGGAGGATCACTGGGGCTTGGTGGCTGCCAGCCTAGTTCTGAATTCAGAAAAAAAAAAAAAAAAACTATCCCAAGAGAATAAGGCAGAGAGTGACAGAGCAACATGCCCAGCACTTTCCTCCAGCCTCTGCATTCATGCATATGCACACCCATACCCACACGTGGCATGCACCATACATAACACAGAAACAAAAACATTTTTAATATGAAAATCAGAAAATCTAGCTGGGCGTGGTGGTGTACGTCTTCAGTTCCAGTATTTGGGAGGCAGAGGTAAGTGGAGCTCTTAAATTTGAGGCCAGTTGGGGCTATAGGGGAACACCTTGTCCCAAAAAGAAAAAAACAAAACAAAAAAAAAACAACAACTCAGAATTCCCTTTTCTTGCAAAGTATCTTATGCTTGGTCAGAAATGAAAGATGAGCATATACTTCATCCATCATAGTCTCTTCAGTCTTGGGTTCTCTGGAAATTTGCCTTCTGTGGCGTGTGAGACCCTTCCATCACAACATCTGCGAAGATAGATTTGAAAGGATACTTTACCGTAATCTAGGCATGGTGCAGTGTGCCTGTAGTCACCAGCTACTCTGGCAACTAAGGGAGGAGGACCACTTGAGCCCACAGGTTTGAGACTGGCCTGGGCAATATAGAAAAAACGTGGCTCAAAATAATAATAATAATAATAATGACTTTTGAAAAAGGAAAACCAAGTTTAACCTAGAATACCAAGTCTTAACTCTGGCAGCGCTAAAGCAGTTTTAACCAGTCTCACCCCATCAATGCTTTGTATCTGCTTGTGTTGTTAACACCTTAAATCTGGCCCTTTCCAGGTTAACTATTGTAACCTTCCTCATGCTAAAAATAAAAACAACTAGCCAGAATGAGAAAGTCCTCTGCCTGGGGTAAGCTACTGCCAGACAGGAAGCAACTGCCCTACCATGAGGCCTCCTTAGCCCCTCACCCCAACACACCTTCTGGGATTCAGACAGTGACAGACTTGGTACGAACACTTCTGGCAGCCCTAGTCTATGCTTTTCCTGCATGGCTCAGCTTTTTGCCTCAAACCTGATAGGAAAAGGCTGTAGAATGGTTGAGTGTCTTGTGCCAGCTTTTTGTGCCATCTGAATGGGGCTGGGGAAATGGCAGTGAAAACAAGCTGACAAATAGATCAATGGATACGTATGACATAATTTCCTGACTTGAAGAGTGAGAATGTTGAAGGATTAACGTATAGACAGTGGACTAAGATTTAGAACAGGGAGGGATGCTATGAGTGTGGGGGCTCCAGAGGTGGTTCAGTAGTTAAGAACAATGACTGCCCTTGCAGAGGACCCAGGTTCAGTTCCCAGCACATGCATGATGGCTAACAACCATCCCTAATTCCAGTTCCTCTTCAGGCATTACACACACGGTGCACTTAAATACATGCATAAATACACATAAAATAAATATAAAACAAAAACAAAATGGGGAGGGACATCAGAGATTACCTACTACTTCAACTTTAGTCTTATGTCTAAGGACAAGAGTTTTAGAGTTTGCAGAATAGCTGGAAATGCAAATTATTAGCCCAGCATTGGTAGAAACAAATTAGTACAGCTGTTATGGAGTACAGAGATTTCTCAAAAACTTAAAAGTAGGTTGTGAACAGTGGTGGGTACTTGTAATCCTAGCACTTGAGAGGCTGAGACAGGATTATGAGTTTGAGGCAACTTGGGCTACATAGTAGCAAGTTCCAGGCTAACCTTGACTTCATAATGAGACCCCATTTCACAGGGAAAAAAAGAAAGGAAATTAAGAAAAATATATTTAAAAGTCAACATAATTTGACACTTAAAGATCACAGAACTTAACTTAAAAATTGCCAAAGGTTTTGTTTTGAGATCCTGGATTGATGTTCCACTGAGAAATACTCGCCTTGTTTAATCCAATTAACCCATTTTACCAGCATGGAGATGTCACATTCCAATAAAAAAAGCCCCAAATTCTTCTGCAGCTGATCATTTTTCAGCAGCTATTCCTATTTTTGTGTGTCTGAAAGATAGACGTGGACTGCTCATAAAAATCCTTTTGCTCCTACTATTAAGCATCAGGTCACTGTTGGCAGAGAGGCACACCGTGATTTCTACTTTCCATGGGTGCTTAAGAGCAGATTTTCCAGGAGGCTCTCAGGGGTACACTACTTTAGAACATGCTGGTATGAGGTGCTCTTCTGAGTCATGGCTAGAATTACAACTGTGGTAGCTTGTGTCTTCAGCAAAGCAGTGAATTCAGTAGTACCCTCTCCGGCCACACATGAAGATCCTGCTTCCGCCTACCCTCACATTATCTGCCTTCCTCACTGATCTTCTCCGGGAGGCATAAGCTGCTTTACCTTGGGACTACAAAGGTAGCATAACGCTGGTGTTCTTTTTCTAGAAGCTTATGGAAGTCCTACAGGGAAGGGCTACAGGGAGCCCTGGAGTTTTTACATATGTACTCATATACCAGTGTTTGTGTAGGGGTTAGAGGACAACTAGAAGACGTGGTTCTCTGCTTCCACCATGTGGGTCCTGGGGATCAATCAATTTGTGAGGTTTGGCAGTAAGCACTTTTACCCACTGAGTCATCTTGCTGGCCCAATTGGGATTATAGGTGTGAGCCACCATTACCCAGCCAACCTTGGCTTTTTCTCAGGAATTTTCTGTTAGCTCTCTTCTTTTTCCTTCCTTTTACCCTGAGGTTCAATGCCATTCTGGCTGCCTAAGGTGATGAGGCCAGTGCTGATGATTGCTAACAATTACATAGGGTTAGGCTGCAGACTTAACTGTAGTGGAGTGCTGTGTGATACACAGATGTTCTACCTACAGTGGGGTTCCGTCAGTTGACAATATCACAAGTAGTAAGTGCATTTAATGTATTTAAACTCTCAAACCTTATAGCTTAATTTAGCCTGCATTAAACATGTTCAGGATACTTTCATTAGCCAGTAGTTGGAAAAACTTGTTGAATACAAAACATTTAATAAAGTTATTATGAAGAAATTTGAATCAAAATTTGAAGTATTACATATACTGAGTATTGTTTTTGCACCATGGTAAGGTTGAAAAATCAGAAGTTCAACTGCTTTAAATCACGATTTTCTAGAAAAGTGGATAGTATTCTTTTTTTAATATCAGCTTCTGAGAATAGCACAGTTTGGAGGTCTGCATACCTCCAATAGCCCCTCATACGGCACACTGCTCAAGGCCAAGAGAAATATGCACGTTTCTTGGGGGTGTGAAAAAATGGTTCAACATGAAATTTTATTATACCTGAAAACATAAAATACTGTAATATATGAATACATGCAAATGCATAAATTGGCAGTTTAATTAGTTATAGTCTCTGCCGGGAAACTTGAATCTTGGAGCTATTTAAACACCCCCTACACAGAAATTCATCCCTAGAATTAGCGAGTTAGTGCTCCCCACAGACCACAGACCAGAGGTTCTGAAAGGATAAGAACTTAAGTACAAAGAGATAACTGCATTTTATGGGTTCTCTGCACAATTATTTGTAAATAATTTAGTTCCCATGTACCAAGATACATCATTTTGGCTGCTCAGGAAAAGGCATTTTCACTGGAGTAAAATCAGGCAATTAGTTTTTAAAGGAAAAATTTAAATGTGTCTATTAATTTGCATTGGAGTAAGTAACTTACAAAAATAAACTTTGAGTCCCAGTAAAGGAGAAAGATTGACAGGGTCAGACAAGGTCCTGTGGTCTGTCTCAGGAAACAATGGGCATCCTGACTCCTTGTGCTCTGTTGGCACTGTGTGGGGTTCAGGGAAATCGGAACAAACTCAGAGCTTGTTTCTGTGGCAGCTGAATTCTGTGGTGTCAGTCTTGATAGTGGGCTTGGCCTGGGAGGAGAGTTAGTACACTAGTTTATGATGCTTTTCTTCTCCCCTCACCCCCAGGATGAAGTGTCCTCTGGCTGGTACAAATAAAAGATTCCTAATTAACACAATTAAGAACACATTGCCCTCTCAAAAAGAGCAAGACCATGAACAAAAAGAGAGCAGCAAGAAACCTGTGAAAAGCCAAGACCCAAAAGAAACAAACTCGAAGAAGCACAGAAGCCACCCCTATAAGCACAGCTTGCACCCAGCCCGAGGCTCAAGGGGCTGCTCGCCCCCAAGGAAGCAGACCTCCCGGGACAAACATGACGCTCGACCCAACAGGCAGTGAGGGGGAGCCGCAGGACCACGCCAGCCTAGCCCTACACCTGTCATCCAGGTGCATGAGGACAGGTATGGGATGGCAGGGCTGTGCCACCTGAGAATGACTTTCCCAGTATGTCCGTTGTTGTTTTTAAGGTGGCTGTTGTTAACAGGAAAAAAAAAATGACCTCATAACTCTTCAAGGAAACAAATATTAACTAGCTTGCTCTTAAGATGTCTTGGCAAGTGTGAATTGCTTAAGCAGTGTATTGTTCCCCTGTGTTGTTTTTATTCTATCTTGTTTGGAAGTTAGTTTTAAAACAAGCAATTCTAGAACTTAAAATTTTCAGATTGTTAAAAATAGTTCCAGTTTTTTGATGTACTGAACTTTTTTGGTCATTTCCCAAAAATTCTCTAAAAATAAAATATTTATAAATCCTATGCTTCACTTTTCTGGTTTTCTGGGTGTCAAATTCTGACTATTGACCGTATTGATGAAAATTTGTATCAGAAACTCAGTGATAGTTCTGTGTTTTTCTTGTAAGTTACAGTTCAGGGACTTAGTGCTGTGTGTCAGCCAGCAGAGGTTAAAAAGTGATTCTGTTGTGTCCTGTGCATCTTCAGACTGTTTCCTTAGATGGAATGAATTTCCTATACTTATTTTTTAATATATAGGTTTAAAGTGATATTTTTAAAATAACCCTTAATAGTTAAAATTACTATAACTTTTACTATAGATTTTAACTGAAGACTTACGCTACACTTGTACAGTTCTTCCCAGAAATCTTCATTTTAAATAAAAGTTTGCAAAGCCTTTGCCTTCCCCCCACCCCAGTGTTTTATATTTTAACATACAATTACAAACCTTTCAAACCTTTATTCTTCCTTCATATTCAGGAAGGTGTCACTAAAGGCCCCTGGTGTACAGCTTGTCCCCCTTCCCCACTTTCTCAAAGTGTCCATGCATGGGCATGACTGCCCTTGATAATCACCATGTATAGCCTGCTCCTTGCCTCCTGGAACCACAGAAATCCCTTTCTACCTTCTAGGAAGATGTCAGCTCTTGGGTATGCCACTCCTGCAACCAGGCTGGCTGCACCCTCAACCTGCTTGGGAGTGGTGAACCTAGAATATTCTCACTTGATCTACAGGTCCTCCCAGCCCAGACTCCAGGAGCTCGTCCTGTGACTGAGGGATGAGACACTTCTTATAAAAGCAAGAGGAATCATTTGCTTCATTTGCTTTTACTCAGATACACAGATTAGCCTAGATTATTTGTGCTACATTTGAAATGTTTTAATACTTAGGTATTTATTAGAAATAACAGTCATTGAGTTTTTCACATTTTTGTTTTAATTTAAGTAAAAATAAAGTTGAAGTATATTGTTTATGCATTCTGGGTGTATAGCAAGCTATCAAGTTCATTGTCCTTTAAAGGGAAGTAGCTATGGGGTTGGTGGTCTATCTCAATGGTAGAGCACCTGCCTAGCGATGTCCAGAGTCCTGGGTTCAGTGCCCAGCACCTCCTCCACCACCCTTGTGCTGGATAGCTTTAGTGTCAACTTGACACACCTGGGTTGAGGGAGCCTCAATCGGGAAATTGCCTCTATTGGACTGGCCTGTGGCCATGTCTGAAGGGCATCTTCTTGATGAGTGATGTGGGAGGGCCCAGCCCACTGTGGGTGGTGCCACCCCTGGGCAGGTGGGCCTGTGTTGCATAAGAAAGCAGGCTGAGCAGGGGCCAAGAGAGCAAGCCAGTAAGCAGCATTCCTCCATGGTCTGTGCTCCAGCTCCTGCCTCCAGGTTCCTGCCCTGAGTTCCCACCTTGGGCTCCCAGATGAACTGTGACCTGGGAGATGTAAGCTGAATAAACCCTTTCCTCCCCAAGTTGGTATTGGTCAGAGTGTTTTGTCACAGCGATGAAGAACAAACTAAGACAACCCTCCTCCCCCAATAAAAGGAGAACTGGTTATAATAAGCACTTTTTACACCTAAAATTAGGGGATATTTTTCAGTCTAGCATATTTACTTTTGTAAGTTGTTAGAGAACAAATGACCTAAAAAATTCCTAGAAAGCATTCTTCTGTTTTTAGAAAATGTTATTAGAGTCTTCAAAGTTTTCATCAAGAGCAACCATGGGGGCTAGAGAGATGGCTCAGCAGTTAAGAGCACTTACTGCTCTTCCAGAGGATCTGAATTCAACTCCCAACAACTACGTTGGGCATCTCAAAACCACCTGTAACTCCAGCATTTGAGGATCTGACACCTCTGGCCTCCACAGGCACCTAGATACATAGACAAAGGCATATAGACACACACATATACACATAACTAAAAATAAAAATATAATCTAAAACTGAAAAGGGAAATCATGGGTTTTCTTTGTGTAATAAAGTCTCAAGAGCAAATTATCCATTTTTATTCTGTATCTATACAATAGGTGTTAGGGGCAGGATTGGTTCTGAGCTATTAAAACTACCCCCAGCCTCTGGTTAGCACAGCACTGATGAGAGATCATCGGTCAGCCTGGGCATTACTATCAAGACTTCTAGTGTAACCACACTGAGACATCACAGACACCAAGGTAGAGAAGTTGCACCTTGGTCCTGCCTCTGCCCTTTGCTAGCTGAGAACCTTATATGGGTCACTTTGTGAACCCCAGTTTTTTCATCTACCAACCCAGATGTTCAGACCAAGTCTCTAATGTTGGATAAGAGCGTACAAAATCCCTGATTTTTTAAGACTACTGTTTCATGCTTCTATTAGAAAGTAACAAGACAAATATAAATACAACCTGGTGGAATTCATTCTTTTTTAAATCTCAGTTTAGAAAATATGGTCCCTAGGAAATGTAGAGGATCTCATCATGTCCAAGTCACCATTTAGTGGCTGCTCCTGAACTGCCCATGAGTTGAAGAGGAGGGAGTCGGGGGAGAGTTTTATTCAGGGTAGGCTGAACACTAAAGGTCATTTCCTGGGGTCTGAGTCTAAAAAGTAATCATGGGATTCTGACTTGCCCTGTGATTATCTGTCATTGGCCCCCTCCCACCCCTGAGGGAGCAGAGGAACAACAGCAAATCTGCTTTAGATCTTATCAGAATTTATTATTAGTATGGTACTTGCACTAACCCCCCCGCCACCACCCCTGGTGTTTTTGAGATAGGGTCTCACTATGTAGCACTGGCTGGTCTGGAATGCGTTATATAAACCAGGCTGGCCTCGAACTCCACTTAAGGAAGCCCATCAATATTCCCAGATTTAGTAAGCTACTCTGAACCCATATGGACAGTGATTCAGACCATCTTATCTGATGTTGGGCCTTCTACTTGGGTCCATACAATCCCACCTTGTGAATAAGGTGCTGTTACCCCCATCCCATTTTAGAAATAAGGAAAAGTATGCTCAAGAACACAGAGCTAGGAAATGGTGGAAATGTGGTCCGAGGACTGTCTGAATCAAAACTTCAGATTCTTAGAGTTGAGGATGTAGCTCCACAGTAGAACATTTCCCTAGCATGCAAGGCCTGAGGTTCAATACCCAGCACTGCAAAAGAAAAAACAAAAATTGCAACAAAAGCATATTCTGGCCAGACATGGTGGCAGCACTTGAGACAGAGGTAGGCAGATCTTTGTGAGTTTGAGACCGGTCTGGTCTCTATAGTTCCAGGCCAGCTGGGGCTACAGGGAGACCCTGTCTCAAAAAGACCAAAAAAAAAAAAAAAAAAAAAAAAAAAAAAAAGCATATTCTGCCCTCTACCTTATACCAAATTTGATCCAAACTCAGGCCCCTCAAAACAGGACTGGCTAGCACCTGGGAGGTAGAGGCAGGTAGATCTCGAAGTTCCAGGCCAACCAGGGCTACATAGAAACCTTGTCTCACACAGAAAACAAACACGTATGTCTGTCCCTTGGTCTCCCAGTTTAAAAACATAAACAACTTTGATAACTGATGCTTTTGTAAAAAAAAAAAAAAAAAAAAGGGCTGATATTTACCTCCACAGACGTGAATGTGAAAGCCCATGGAGGAGTGGTTTGCAGTAGTCAACACAGGCCACTATAAACAGCCATCTGCATCGAAGAGAAAAACTCACTGTACATTGAAGAGTTAAATGGCATCTAATGGAACCTCTGAGGGGAAGCCAGGATTTTTATTTCAGATTTAACCTCTCTTTCATCTAAGAATAAAGTAGCTCCCCCCTCATATGGATTCATTTTCCAAGGTTTTAGTTATCCATAGTTAACTGGTATGAAATATTAAATGCAAAATTCTATATTTTAAAAGAAAACAAGAAAGATCGTGTTCATAAAAGTTATAATGTAGCATACTGTTATTATTTTGTTATTGTTAACCTGCATCCAATTTGTAATTAAACTTTTATCAATAATACATATATATATATATACATATTATAATACACACATACACATACACATATACATAGGTATGCTTAGAATTTGCTCCTAACTATGGTTTTAGACACCAATTGGGGTGTCTTGGAATGTGACCCTGCAGATTAGGGGGATTTACCATCGTAAGATTTGGGAGTTAAGAAGTTGGAGACACGAGGCTCCTGGTTCCATGAATCACCTTCTACTATCCAAGGAGTTTAAGGAACTATTTTTGTCCCCTGGCAGAGGAATGTCACCAGATCAAATTGAGCCCTGATGCATGACTCATCTGAAATTTCAGAAGTGAGGAGACTCCTTTGCCAAGTGGAGACTTTCTCAATTAGGAAGAAAGGAAGTGTGATTTCATGTGCCCAGAAAAAACATAAAGTAAGTTAATCCCCACTAAACTGGCAACATTGCAATGAAAATCAAAGGCATTTTACAAATAATTTTTATTTGGGTTACCATATTTCAAATCTCAGAATGCCGTAAGCATTATGATGAAACCAATAACACACAGAGCACATCTTTAGTAGTTGATAAAATGAACTGTTCATCTTCATAGTCCTATAATTTTTGGTCATATATATACATACATACCTGCATGAAACAAACTCAAGATACAGCAGATCGTATGTCATGCCAGAGACATTCTCTTAATAAGTAAATAGCTTGCCCTCAACAGTGGTCCTCGGTCCTCCTTACATTGACTTTTCTCATTAGCTTGTTGGGCATAGCTCACTCAAGATTAACTAGTACAGCCTATTCAACAACTAGCCCCTATTTACTCCAAATTATAGACCCATTCATCTACTGGATATACCAGCTCTTTCCGGAGTTTTCGCTGAGATTTGTGAGGATGGACTAAGGAACACCCCACACACAAGGTCCCAGAAACAAAACAGATTCTTACCAAAGTTCCCCCTGGAGAACCAGATGAGTTTGGGGGGGCTTACTTAAAGAGCCTCAATGAACCCAAAGCAGCCACACCAGAAAGTCTGCACCCAGGATGGGTCATGGCTCCTACCAGGCTGTGTAGATGGAGCCCCTTTC